TAGTGCTGACTGGACGCAATTCGGTGCTGGCTGGATGCAATTTGGTGCTGGCTGAATGCAATTTGTTGCTGGCTGGATGCAATTTGGTGCTGGCTGGGTGCAATCTGGTGCTGGCTGTATGCAATTTGGTTCAGGCTGGGTGCATGTTGTTGCTTACTGGGTACAATTTCGTGCTGGCTGGGTGCAATGTGGTGCGGGCTGGGTGTAGGCTGATTGCAAACTGCCAACTATTACTAACCAGCCCCCAGCCAGCACCATCCTGTACCCAGCCTGCACCAACCTGCATCCAGTCAGCACCAACTTGCACCCAGCCAGCATAAACCTTCACCCAACCAGCACGAACCTCCTGCCAACCAAATTGCCCACAAAAGCACCAACCTGCACCCAGCTTGCACCAAATGGCATCCAATGTGTGATGGCTGCGCGCAATTTGGTGCTAGCTGGATGCAATTTGGTACTGGCTGGATGCAGTTCGGTGCTGTCTGCGTGCAATGTGGCGCCAGCTGGGTGCAATTTGACCACTATTACTAACCAGCCCCCAGCAAGCACCATCCTGAACCCAGCCAGCAAAAACCTGCATCCAGGCAGCAACAACCTGCACTCAGACAGCACCAACATGCAACAAGCCAGCACCCAGCCAGCACCAGTCAGCACCAATCTCCAGCCAATTTAGTGCTGGCTGACTGCATTTTCGTGCTGGCTGTGTGCAATTTGGTGCAGTCTGGGTGCGATCTGATGCTGGTTTAGTGACCTTTGGTGCTGGCTGGGTGCAATGTTTTGATGGCCTGGTGTAGATTGCAGCTGGGTGGGTGCACGTTGGCAACTACGAGCAACCTTTACCCAGCCAGTATCAAATTCCACCCAGTCAGCACCCACCAGCACTCAACCAACACTCAGCTGCACTAAGCCAGCACCAAACTACAGCCAGCTGCTCAAGCAGCACGCAGCCATCAGCAAATTGGATGCCATTTGGTGCAAGCTGGGTGCAGCTTGGTTTTGGCTGGGTGCAATTTGGTGCTGGCTGGATGCACTTTGGTGCTAGTTGGGTGCAATGTGGCGCCGGCTAGATTTAGGCTGGTTGCAATTTGCCAACTATTACTAACCAGCCCCCAGCCAGCACCATCCTGAACCCAGCCAGCACCAACCTGCACCCAGCCAGCACCAGTCAGCACCAGTCTGCAACCAATGTGGTGCTGGCTAGCTACAATTTCGTGCTGGCTGTGTGCAATTTGGTGCTGTCTGCAATTTGATGCTGGTTTAGTGACCTTTGGTGCTGGCTGGGTGCAATGTTTTGCTGGGCTGGTGTAGATTGCTGCTGGCTGGGTGCACTTTGGCAACCACGAGCAAGTTTTACCCAGAAAGCACCAAATTGCACCAAGCCAGCACCAACCCACACCCAGCTGCACACAGCCAACATCCAGCTAGCACCAACCTGCACCCAGCCAGCACTAAATTGCACGCAGCCATCAGCAAATTTGATGCCATTTGGTGCATGCTGGGTGCAGCTTGGTGCTGGCTGGGTGCAATGTGGCGCCGGCTAGATTTATGCTGGTTGCAATTTGCCAACTATTACTAACCAGCCCCCAGCCAGCACCATCCTGAACCCAGCCAGCACCATCCTGAACCCAGCCAGCACCAACCTGCATCTAGGCAGCAACAACCTGAACTCAGCCAGCACCAACATGCAACAAGCCAGCACCTATCTGCACCCAGCCAGCACCAGTCAACACTAATCTGCACCCAGCCAATTTAGTGCTGGCTGGCTGCAATTTTGCGCTGGCTGTGTGCAGTTTGGTACTATCTGCGTACAATTTGGTGCTGGTTTAGTGCCATTTAGTGCTGGCTGGGTGCAATGTTTTGCTGGCCTCATGTAGATTGCTGCTGGCTGGGTGCACTTTGCCAACCACGAGCAACCGGCACCCAGCCAGCAGCAACCTGCCCCCAGCCAGCACCAAATTGCACGCAGCGATCAACACATTTGATGCCATTTGGTGCATGCTGGGTGGAGGTTGGTGATGGGTGGGTGCAGGTTGGAGCTTTCTGTGGCCAATTTGGTGCTGGCTGGATGCAGTTTGCTTTAGGCTGTGTGCAGGTTGTTGCTGAATGATGCAATCTGGTGCTGGCTGGGTGCAATCTGGTGCTGGCTGGGTGCAATTTTGTGCTGGCTGGATGCAATTTGGTGCTAGCTGGATGCAATTTTGTTCAGGCTGGGTACTGGTTGTTGCTGACTGGGTGCAATTTGGTGCTGGCTGGATGCAACTTAAAGCTGGCTGGATGCAATGTGGTTCCGGATGGGTGTAGGCTGGTTGCAAAATGTTAACTATTACTAACCAGCCCCAGCCAGCACCATCCTATACCCAGCTTGCACTAACATGCATCCAGTCAGCACCATCTTGCACCCAGCCAGCATAAACCTTCACCCAACCAGCACCAACCTCCTGCCAACTAGCACAAAATTGCCCACAAAAAGCACCAACCTGCACCAGCCAGCACCAACCTCCACCCAGCTTGCACCAAATGGCATCCAATGTGTTAATGGCTGCTTTTAATTTGGTGCTAGCTGGGTTGAATTTTGTGCTAGCTGGAAGCAATTTGGTTCTGGCTGAATTCAGTCCAGGTCTTTCTGGGTGCACTTTGGTGCTGGTTGGGTGAAATGTGATCTAGACTGAGTGCATCTTGGTGCTGGCTGGATGCAGTTTGGTGCTCGCTGGATGCAGTTGGGTGCAATGTGGCGCAGCTTAGTGCAGTTTGCCAACCATTACTAACCAGCCCCCAGCCAGCACATCCTGAACCCAGCCAGCACCAACCTGCATCCAGGCAGCAACAACCTGCACTCAGCCAGCACCAACATGCAACGAGCTAGCACCCATCTGCACCCAGCCAGCACGGTGTCAGCACCAATCTGCAGCCAATTTAGTGCTGGATTGCTGTTTGGTGTTGTCTGGGTGCGATTTGATGGTGGTTTAGTGACATTTGCTGCTGGCTGGGTGCACTTTGCCAACCTCGAGCAACTGGTACCCAGTCAGCACTAAATTGCACCCAGTCAGCAGCCACCAGCACTCAACCAACACTCACCTGCACCCAGCCAGCACCACCCTGCACCCAGCCAGCACCAACCTATACCCAGCTGCACACAGCCAGCCCCCAGCCAGCACCAACCTACACCCAGCCAGCACCAACCTATACCCAGCTGCACAAAGCCAGCCCCCAGCCAGCACCAACCTGCACCCAGCCAGCACCAACCTACACCCAGCCAGCACCAACCTACACCCAGCCAGCACCAACCTACACCCAGCTGCATACAGCCAGCCCCCAGCCAGCACCAACCTGCACCCAGCCAGCACCAACCTGCACCCAGCCATCAGCAAATTGGATGCCATTTGGTGCAAGCTGGGTGGAGGTTGGTGCTGACATGGTGCAGGTTCGTGCTTACTGTAGGCAATTTGGTGCTGGCTGGGTGCAGTTTTCATCAGGCTGTGTGCAGGTTGTTGCTGATTGGTGCAATTTGGTGCTGGCTGGGTGCAATTTGGTGCTGGCTGGATGCAATTTGGTTCAGACTGGGTGCAAGTTGTTGCTGACTGAGTACAATTTAGTGCTGGCTGATTGCAATTTTGTGTTGGCTGGGAGCAATTTGGTGCTAGCTGGATGCAGGTTGGCTCAGGCTAGGCACAATTAGGTGCTGGTTGGGTGCAATTTGATGCTGGCTGTATGCATTTGGTTTTGGCTGGATGCAGTCTGGTTCAAGCTAGGCGCAATTTGGTGTTGGTTGGTTGCAATTTGCCAACAGTTACTAACCATTCCCTCAGCCAGCACCATCCTGAACCCAGCCAGCACCAACCTGCACCCAGCCAGCACCATCCTGAACCCAGCCAGCACCAAATTGCACCCAGCCAGCACCAACCTGCACCCAACCAGCACTAGCTAGGAGGAGGGGATGCGCGGGTGAAAAAGAAGAATTAGAAGGAGGTAATGCAGGAAAGAAGAAGAAGAAGAATTAGGGGAAGGTAATTCAGGAAGAAGAAGATGAATTACAAGGAGGTAATGCAGGGGAAAAGAAGAAGAAGAATTAGGAGGAGGTAATGCAGGAAGAAGAAGAAGAATTACGAGGAGGTAATGCAGGGAAGAAGAAGAAGAATTACGAGGAGGTAATGCAGGGAAGAAGAAGAAGAAGAATTAGGAGGAGGTAATGCAGGAAGAAGAAGAAGAATTACGAGGAGGTAATGCAGAAAGCAGAAGAAGAATTACGAGGAGGTAATGCAGGGAAGAAGAAGAAGAAGAAGAAGAATTAGGAGGAGGTAATGCAGGAAGAAGAAGAAGAATTACGAGGAGGTAATGCAGGGAAGAAGAAGAAGAAGAATTACGAGGAGGTAATGCAGGGAAGAAGAAGAAGAATAAGGAGGAGGTAATGCAGGGAAAAAGAAGAAGAAGAATGAGGAGGAGGTAATGCAGGGAAAATGAAGAAGAAGAATTAGGAGGAGGTAATGCAGGGAAGAAGAAGAAGAATTAGGAGGAGGCAATGCAGGGAAGAAGAAGAAGAAGAAGAAGAAGAAGAAGAAGAAGAATTAGGAGGAGGTAATGCAGGGAAGAAGAAGAAGAAGAAGAAGAATTAGGAGGAGGTAATGCAGGGAAAAAGAAGAAGAAGAAGAAGAAGGATTAGGAGGAGGCAATGCAGGGAAGAAGAAGAAGAAGAAGAATTAGGAGGAGGTAATGCAGGAAAGAAGAAGAAGAATTAGGAGGAGGTAATGCAGGGGAAAAGAAGAAGAAGAATTAGGAGGAGGTCATGAGGGGGAGAAGAAGAAGAATTACGAGGAGGTAATGCAGGAAAGCAGAAGAAGAATTAGGAGGAGGTAATGCAGGGAAGCAGAAGAAGAATTAGGAGGAGGTAATGCAGGGAAGAAGAAGAAGAATTACGAGGAGGTAATGCGGGGGAGAAGAAGAAAAGGATGAGGTGCAGAGGGATGGAGAAGAAAGACAATGCCAGCGATAAAGATGACTCTTACCTCGATGTCTTCTTTGTCCACACCAGCCTCCCGAAGACGATGAAACGTATCCCTAATGTAGGACTCTAGGATTGCATTATTACGTAGGTTGATGACTACACTGGTAATGTCCAATAGCAACTTTCGGCCATACTGGATTGAGGCAGCGTTATTCCTCAGAGACCTGCAGCTCTTGCATTTTTTACAAGCTGCCAGTTTCGGGAGCAGACGGATTAGATCGGGCTTTTTCGTCAAACAGCTGAAAAGTCACATATTACTGTTAGCTATGGTTGGGATTGTCCAGCTCATCTGGCAGTTTAGTATAAATTTTTTATAAAAGTTCCTCTTGCAAAATAAAAGCAATAATAACAAAAACATTAATGCCAGTAATCAAGCATTCCAAACCGTTTCCCCGTTTTCATAGGTACTGTGCATATAGTGCTAGAGCTATATATTATAGACAAATCAGCACTCGCTGGGTGATTCGGTCAATATCAAACAGATCGCTTTTACTTTCCGGGATTTTACCCTTTAAGACGCGGTTGACCTGGAAGCCAAAGTTATTTTGGAGGAAAAGAACAAATAAAGTCTCGCTCCGTCTGGAACTGAACCCGCGACTTTCAGATCTGCGGACGAGCGTCTAGCCGTTACATGACGGCGGCCTCCATGCCACTAATGCAGCAGACATACTGTTTTTGATTAATAGCATCTTTATCCCTACTTTATGTTATCAGTGTCAAACATGGACAATAAATAGCGCATATAAAATCACCACAAGTGAAATACGCTGTCTCCGCAAGGTCACTAACAACATAAAAAGAGACAGGGTTACGAATATCAGCATCAGAGAGAAAGTGAGAATAAGACCATGTCTGGATTAATTTGACAAAGAATGAAATGGTTCGACCATCTAGTGAGAACGCAGCCAGACCAAACTGCGAATGAGACTTTAGATAGTGTTATATTGATGAAGAATACCCACAAGAACAATGGGTCAGAGTCTATTCAGATGGGTCCGCAGAAAATGCAATTAGAAATGGTGGTGCTGGAGTGTACATCGAATTCCCAGATGGTACTAGGGTTAAGTCCAGCGTATCAACCGGGAAGTACTGCCATAACCATGATGCAGAAACCCAGGCTATCAAGATAGCTACAGAGAAACTGCTAAATACCAACCTTGGCTCACAGTATGTGGTAATGCTTACAGATGCTAAATCAGTACTTGAAGCACTCCAGTCTAGGAAACTACCAGAATTGCAAACACTGCTGACACAACTCAGGCGAACGAAAGAAGAAGAAGAAGATAGTGGAACATTTGGGAGAAAGGCAAAAAGAAGACCAAGAAAGAGATGGATGAATAATGTAGTTGAAACCTCCAGAAAGATGAACAAATCCATCACTCAAGCCACGAAAAGGGCAAAACAAATACAGAAAACCACACAGGGCTACAATCGGGTATTATTTAGACGACAAAAGAAGAAGAACTTACAAGTATATTATTTGATTACTTCCACTGACTCACCGATCGATAATTCTCACGCCATGCACGTCCATATATTTGATCATTTCTTCCCAAGTGGCGTTGATGAGCTTGATATGGCGGTTGTGGAGAGCTGGCAGTAAGCTGTGGGCGCTAGTACTGTTGACAGCAAGTTTTCCTGGGGACAAGCACAAATAATCCATGAATTAAAGCTGAACTCACAGTTTTACCAGAGCTATTTCCCCTGGCAGTGATTTATATGTAACGATTTTTTTCCCCAAGTTTTGTTAGGGGGGTAAAAGTATTAATCGTTTTGCGGAGAATAGTAGCTTTATCCTTGGAGGTATAGAGGCAACGGGAGAAAGTTATGTTATGGCAGGGCAGACCAGATTCTGCCTTTTGCCCTAGCTGGCAGCTGGTCTAGGAGGGAAGCTCCGACAGGCAAACAGAGTACTGCACTTTAGATCTGACAGCTTCTGCAGGGTGATTTGTTCCAAACGTACTGGTGTTGCATTTCCTTTAAAGTAAACAAGGCAGGCCAGGAGTTAGAGATAAATCATGATGCATGGTCAACCACGCTGTCTACAATGATGTCCAGGCATTGTTCTATAGAGCAAGCTTTCCCAATAGCACAGTTAACACTATCGCCTAGAGAGACTCAACAGTAACAACAACAGACAGGAGTCGAGATGCTGACCATATCACCACCAAGGGCCGTCTAACTTTTTAAAATGAATCTAGGATCACGTAGCCAATAAGACCACACATGTGAAATGGGAAACTGAGTTTAAGATTCTTTTATTGTGAGTCGTGCACTATTTTTCATAAAAATAAAAATGTCATGGGAAGTAAAATCAGCCGGTGTGATGGTTATCTTCAGGGGCAGAACGTTCCTGATGCGCCAATGATGTGAAGCATCTTTCACTTCCTTGTTACCTACTTTACGACAAACATTTTCTTCTTCTTTTTCTTCCTTTTGTTCTTCTTCTTCTTCTTCTTCTTCTTCTTCTTCTTCTTCTTCTTCTTCTTCTTCTTCTTCTTCTTCTTCTTCTTCTTCTTCTTCTTCTTCTTCTTCTTCTTCTTCTTCTTCTTCTTCTTCTTCTTCTTCTTCTTCTTCTTCTTCTTCTTCTTCTTCTTCTTCTTCTTCTTCTTCTTCTTCTTCTTCTTCTTCTTCTTCTTGTAACCCTTCGAAAACAGTGTCCGCTCGTTCTTCTTCTTCTTCTTCATCTTCTTTCTTCTTCTTTTCTTCTTTTTCTTCTCCTTCTTCTTCTTCTTCCTCCTCCTCCTCCTCTACTACTTCTTCTTCTCCTTTTTTTTACCTTCTTCTTCTTTTTCTTCTTCCTCCTCTACTTCTTCTTCTTCTTATTTTTTTCTTTTTCACTTTTTTCTTTGTCTTCTTTCTTCTATTTTTCTTCTTTTTCTTCCTCTTCTTCTTTTTCCTCTTCTTCTGCTTCTTCATTTTTCCTCTTCTTCTTCTTCTTCTTCTTCTTCTTATTATTATTATTATTATTATTATTATTATTATTATTATTATTATTATTATTATTATTAATATTATTATTATTATTATTTGTCTGCTTCTTTTTCTGCTTCTGCTTCTTCATTTCTTCTTCTTCTTTCATTTTTAACTTTTCTTCTTCTTCTTCTTCTTCTTCTTCTTCTTCTTCTTCTTCTTCTTCTTCTTCTTCTTCTTCTTCTTCTTCTTCTTCTTCTTCTTCTCCTCCTCCTCCTCCTCCTCCTCCTTCTTCTTCTTCTTCATCGTCCTCTTCTTATTCTTTCACCATCATCATTGACATATTCTTCTTACCTTGTGGAATTTTCCTCTCCTGTTGTTTCATCCGCTCGAAGAGTCTTATTGATGCTCTGACAGCGGCTATCCTGTGTGGATATATGCAGATATACTGTAACTGCGTGGATATAGGCAGATATACTGTAACTGTGTGGATATATGCAGATATACTGTAACTGTGTGGATATTTGCAGATATACTGTAACTGTGTGGATAGAGGCAGATATACTGTAACTGTGTGGATATATGCAGATATACTGTAACTGTGTGGATATATGCAGATATACTGTAACTGTGTGGATATATGCAGATATACTGTAACTGTGTGGATATAGGCAGATATACTGTAACTGTGTGGATAGAGGCAGATATACTGTAACTGTGTGGATATATGCAGATATACTGTAACTGTGTGGATATATGCAGATACACTGTAACTGTGTGGATATAGGCAGATATACTGTAACTGTATGGATATAGGCAGATATACTGTAACTGTGTGCATATAGGCACATATACTGTAACTGTGTGGATATATGCAGATATACTGTAACTGTGTGGATATATGCAGATATACTGTAACTGTGTGGATAGAGGCAGATATACTGTAACTGTGGATAGAGGCAGATATACTGTAACTGTGTGGATATATGCAGATATACTGTAACTGTGTGGATATATGCAGATATACTGTAACTATGTGGATAAAGGCAGATATACTGTAACTGTGGATAGAGGCAGATATACTGTAACTGTGTGGATATATGCAGATATACTGTAACTGTGTGGATATATGCAGATATACTGTAACTGTGTGGATAGAGGCAGATATACTGTAACTGTGGATAGAGGCAGATATACTGTAACTGTGTGGATATATGCAGATATACTGTAACTGTGTGGATAGAGGCAGATATACTGTAACTGTGGATAGAGGCAGATATACTGTAACTGTGTGGATATATGCAGATAAACTGTAACTGTGTGGATAAAGGCAGATATACTGTAACTGTGTGGATATATGCAGATATACTGTAACTGTGTGGATAAAGGCAGATATACTGTAACTGTGTGGATATATGCAGACATACTGTAACTTTGTGGATATATGCAGATATACTGTAACTGTTCGTGACTTAAAAAGGAGTTGTGTGGTGACTCTAAGTCGATGCGAACGCTTCGTAATGCCGGGGTGCCGGGTTCGATCCCAGTGGCGGACTATGCGCCTTGCGTTAGTTTCGACAATGGTATCAGGGGGCCGACCGTCCATGGAAACCACACAACAGCCAGGGGCTGCTGGGGAATGTTCTGTAACATCCCGTAAAGGATGCGCAACTAACAAAGGTTGTGGAGAGATTCAGATACCTCGGTAGTACATTGACTCAGAATGTCACCGTCTACGAGGAGGTAAGCACCAGGATTTCTAAAGCCAGTTGGAAATGTGCTTGTTTGGGTATTCGGCTGAAGGGAGTTTTCTGGATTTGTACCTGTTTGATTCTCATCCTTGAGTTGTTCCTGCTAAAGAATACAAATCTAGAGTTAAGGACCTTTTTCCACGCCTTTTAGCGTATAAGGCATATAGGGCTAGACTTATATTTTATAGACCAATCGGCACAATGTGGGTGATGTGGTCAGCATCACGCCGGCCGCTTTTACTTCCCGGGACTGCACACGGTACCCACTCAAGGCTGGGTCGACCTAGGAGCCAAGGTCATTTTTGAAGAAAGTTCGGCTCCGCCAGTGAGTGAACCCACGACCTTCCGATCCGCAAATCTAGAGGGGTAAACATAATAACTTAAACTCAGAACTAATAATTATAATAATAATAATAATAATAATAATAATAATAATAATAATAATAATAATAATAATAATAATAATAATAATAATAATAATAATTACAACAACAACAACTTTAAAAGCATTGTTTCAACTCTTACCTGCGGATGTCACTGTATGACAGACGCATTAAATCTCTGCGATCGGTCACAGGAACGAATTTTTCCAGACATAACATCTGAGGCTTACAGTCCATCGCAGAATTGTCGTCCGTCTCTAAGTCTTCCCTTGGGTCCGCCGGCAAGTGACCATCGAACACGCTCGGTGCTTAATGGTGCGAATGACTCCTATCTGTCGATTTCGTGGTGTGGTTTTTTTCCCCTCCCACTTAAAATAATTTTTTACCACTTGCCGCCTATCTCTAAATAGTTTTTCATATATCAATGCTTTTTTTCTTTTAAATGATTTTTTGTTTTTTTAACTTTGACACCTTGGAAGGTTTTCAGAACAGACAGGAAACGATGGCAGCAGCACTCGATTTAGAAGATGCTTACAACAGTCAGATCCAGAATCTTGAAGAAAGCGCTATGGAGAAGGGGAGTCTGTCCTTGGGTGGTGAACTGAATAGCAGCCGTTTTGTATACTCGCCGGGTAGCTCACCACCTGGGGTCATGGAACTCTGAACAATGGATTATAGCTCCAGGACTACCACAGGGATCTGCAAGTTCATCTGTACTGTTCAATGTTTTTACGAGCAAAATTGCGGACCTGAAAACACCTGGAGTTGGCAGAATATTGAGATTTGCAGACGATTTTATCGTAAATAGAAAGGGGTGAGGCCGGAATCAAATTGCTGAAGAGTTACAGGCAACAGTAGATAAGGCGACTGACTGGTGTACAGAGATGAGTGATGTAATCAACCCAGAAAAGGCAACCATCCTGTGGTGTTCTTTGGATAACAGGATTGTTAGAGCTGATGTTCCAAGACTCAAAATAAATTGCAGGACATCAAAAGAGACAGCAGACTGCGGTGCATGGGAATCACACTTGACAGAAGTTTGTCTTTCAAGGATCACATAGATAGGCTTGTGCAAAGGTTCAAAAAGGTCTTAATGCACTAATGATTATGTTAGCAATGGACATGGAGCAGAGAATACTGCTCACACATTACCATCGCTTAATCATCTCAGTGATTGACTATGGGTCAGGGTTACTCACTGTCTCAAAGAGACAGCTAGAGAAACTGGAGCACATACAGAATGAAGCTATACAGGTTATCCTGGGATGTATAAAAGACACCCCGATTGTGTGCATGCGATACATCCTTGCATTGCCGACTACTGCATATAGGCTAAAGGTGCTGAAGGGTTAAGTCATTTCTCATAATAGCTGCAGACAAAGAACACCATCTGTGTGAAGCTTTAGCTTCAGGGAAGGGACAGAGGCTGAAATAGGAAAATCGTAAATAGCTCAAGCAGAAGACAATAAGACAAATATGAATGCTGGAGAACATTGGGCGAGGAGAGGAGTGGGTCAGAGTACCCTGGAAAAAGTCTGACCTGTGTAGGGTTATGATAACATTGGGCAGGCAGTGCAGAGAGTGGCCAGCGGGTGCTATGGAGGTTGAAGTCCAACAGTTCATTCACGACAATTCACGCCCAGTTGATCTGATTATCTATACAGATGGTTCGGTGTAGAGAGGCAAGAGAAATGCCTGGGGGTTCCAAGCGAAAGGCAATGGAAAATCTTTATCTCGAGACAGCCTATTAAATGACACCACATCTAGCATGAGAACGGAGCTCTCCGGTGGCCAGAGAACAAGATGAGTACACATTTCGTAATTGTAACAGACTCTGAAAGCGTGCTGCGAAATGTGAAGACAGGGATGCTTGGAGCAGAGTGGCAAGCTTCACTGACACGGTCATGGGTAGTGAGCATACTTTGGATCTTTTCTCCAGGCTATGCCGGCGTAGTGGGTAACAAACAGGCAGACAGATTGGCTTGATCTGCACCACTGGGTGGTGAACTGATACATGACAACGCAGATGTGGTCAAGGCCCTTTGGGAACAAGCAACGGAATCAGTAGATAAACAAGATTATTATGGCCTGGAGAGAATGAGGCACCTGGGTGTAGCCAGGGTGTCTCGCCGCTCCAATTGGTACACCCAGGACAAGCCGTCTATTCAGTGAAAAAATCATTTTCCACGAAATTGAAAGCCTCACAGCGTTGAGTCTCTGGTATGGCATTGATGATGTTTCTCCAGCCCATACAGGGCCTTTTCCTGAAAGTCACACTGCCAGCCAGAGCGTCTGCTCTTTCGTTGCCTTTCACACCAGCATGACCTGGGACTTGAATGAAGGTGATTTTGCGAAGCTGCGTGCTGTTTCAGTTGAAGCCTTTGTTTCCGTATGTACCCCGCCTTTATCTTCTGTAGCATGCTCATTGAATCACTGAGCAAACATGCGTTGGTGAAGTCTCGAGTTGTCAGCCATGTTAAGGCCTTTGTCCCAGCCAGGACCTCCATTGTCATGCTGCTAGTGTTAGAAGCGTATTATGTTTTATTTTACTATTTCCTCTCTTATCGGCCTCTTTGCCTCCTTTCACCATCATCATGTAGCATGTTCTTTGCAGAACGTCGCTCTCGTCACGGTCTGTCTGAAAGAAACTCGGTCTCTCGCCAGCTCTCCCACCTTATGTACTTTCCTACTCAAGAACTCACTTATATCTTGTGCCCATTTTCGTGTCGGCCAGCCCCTGTCCCTCCTTCCTGGTACCATGCCTCTTTTAAATAATCTTATTTTCCTATCTAGACTGGCTGAACTTTTGATTTACATTTTCTTGTTTAACCCTTTTTTTGTGGAAGGGTGGGGGGGGGGGGGGAGTGAGGGGTGTTTTGTTTTGTGATCTGTTATTTTAGCTTTGAATATAACGAGTTTCAATGCTTTTCATCCTGAATATACTGTCATGTGTCCTGAATATACTGTCATGTGTCCTGGATATACTACCATTTGTCCTGAATATACTGTCATGTGTCTTGAATGTACTGTCTTGTGTCCTGAATATACTGTCATGTGTCTTGAATGTACTGTCATGTGTCCTGAATATACTGTCATGTGTCCTGAATATACTGTCATGTGTCCTGAATATACTGTCATGTGTCCTGAATATACTACCATTTGTCCTGAATATACTGTCATGTGTCTTGAATGTACTGTCATGTGTCCCGAATATACTGTGATGTGTCTTGAATGTACTGTCATGTGTCCTGAATATACTGTGATGTGTCCTGAATATACTGTCATGTGTCC